TTGCAACACATTAAATCAAAATAATAAATAAACGTCCCGTTTAAGTAACTGATAAAAATATGGCATTAAAATTATATAAGTAGTTACATATAAAAAATTTATTCAATTATCTAAATTTCGACCGTGCAATATTTTTGTCCACCCTCCCGGGTTACAAGTATTCATTACATTGCAATTCACAATTTTTTATGAACAATTACTAAAAACAATTCTTACGAGCAATTTACTATTTTTTTACTTTTGTGGAACCAGTTTAGTTTGAAAGGACTGGTTTGGTTCAAGTTGAATCATTTGTTAAAAGTTCCAAATTTGGAACCGGTTCCCGAACCGAATTCGAACCGCGGGTAACCTTACCCATCCATACATTAAGTTTCAGTCGTTGCCCGCTATAAATAATACCGATGCAGTATAAACAATACAGAAGCTATTTCGTAAAACATAAATCTTTTAATAAGCAGCAAGAATCCTACCATAAATTCGTTCCCAAATTCAAATAAGTTGTTAATATCTAATGAATAACATCTTAGCATTTAGAGTGTTTTTAGTCGTCGAATTGTCACTATCTCGTTTTACTTTGGTTCAAGAAGATTCGAGTAAGTTACGCACGTGAATGCTAATTTTGGTAAAGTATCGAATTTTCTATTCCTTTGTTATTTCAAAAGGAATGTTGATCAATCGTAGAAGTATTAAACTAACGTCTACATGATTCTAAAGCTTTGGAGTTCCGAAGTTTTATACCATTTTCCATTATAATTATTAACAGCATTTAAAAAAATTTACACTTTCAAGTATTTTCTTTCTATAAATGGACGAAACACTTGTCCGAAGCAATGCGTGACTTGTCACGCGGTTCTTTTGAATCAATACATAAACATAATGCTCTTTGCGTGCTTCCGAAATTAAATTTGATCAGCAAATTTATTTCGAAACGCGGACGTTTACGATTCAATTACATTTTAGCCTACAAAAACCCTGCTGTTGTATTGTGACAAAATGTAGAATCTTTTGTTCATTTTATACCAATAATCATTCCTGTTTTAAAATTGATTTAATCCGAATCTTGTGTTTTTTCCACTTTTGCCAATTATTATTATTGTTATTAGTTCAATATCCTTAAATCTCAATTAAGCTTTCATTAAGAATGTACAATAATCCTTATTAAGTAACCGTGGAAATACGTATCTCTTGTGAGATTAGTGAGTGTAGCGTAATAATGCGACAGTTACGTTCAAATTGTCAATGTGATGAAGGAATTCTTTCTTATTTTTTTTTAAAATATTAGTTTTTCGGTTCTCTACTATATAAATATCTTTATGAGTAGCTTTATTGAATGTTTTTCTCATTATTGTGCAGTTTTCATTATTAAAATTTATGTTTACTTTATGTGAGCTTAGCTAATCCAATGAGTTTCGTGGTTAATTTTTTGATTATTTCAAAATATTTATCACACATTAAATGATATCGAAATTGCAAAAATTTCACGTTCTTGATTCATCCGCGCTCGACAAAAATTTTACTTCCCGTTCTTGATTCATCTGCATTTACTAATTTTTCACCAGGTCTTCTATTGGTCATCCCAGCAATCAATAAGAATGCATAATCCAACAAAAACAAATAAAACAAAATGAAATACAGAAACGGAATGCTTAAACCTAATTGAAAATAATTATGATCTCAACTTTAACCTTAAGTTAATCTTCTTAAAATCGATTATCGTATAATTTCCAAGATCGGCAAAAGCAGTGAATCAAGAACGACTCCTTCGTTATATCCAGGTTTGATTGTATCTTTAATATTTCTATAATTTATTAAGTTACTTGTTTCGCAAAGGACGATACTACCGGCACTAAACACCAGTCAAATTGGACCAATAAAAATCGCTAAATTATCATAGTTCACCAATCAAATTCGAGATCGACAAGGCAAACGTAAACAAACCAAATAAAACTCGAAATTTTACTAAGATAGTTAGCTTCAAGTCTCTAAGTAAAAATGTTCTTACATTCAATTCTATTGCTAACTAGCCTTATTCCTTATTCTATCTTTCTATATAATTATTAGAAAATAATATGGTGTTATTTACATTGATAATTAATATAATATTTAAGATAATTTTCTTTTTTAAAATCAGGTACTTCATAAAAAATAATTTTTTGTTTAAAATGTAATTGCTCATAAATGCTAGTAAAAAAAAAATTTTTATATCAAATATTCATGTAATTCAACCGTAAATTAAAAATTCGTTACATGGAATAAAAAAGTGTATTGATTTATTACTTAGAAAGTATGCTCATTTACTTTTAAATCTTTTAGAAAGATATAAATTGGTAGCTAAATATAAACATTAGTATTGTCAGAATATTTCCACGTGTATCTCTTATTGTTAATTTGTATTGTATTTGATTTAATGGAAAAAAAAAGAAAAATACCGTGTAAATCCGGAATAAGCTACCCATTTATGCACGATTTTAAGTTTGAAAAAGTGAGGGGACATTTATGTTCGGAATTAATATTATTTAAAAAATGATATCCAGAACATGGGAAGGGAGATAGTTTATTCTCAAGGGTAGCTTATTTTCAGAGCTATACGGTACTTAGCTAGACTGAAAACACTTATTGTTCCGATATGGAGTAATATTAAATCTTCTGCATGGCTGATTGTTGATTTAAAAGTAAATACCCCGAAATATCAGTACAGATCGAAAGCTCTAGATCAAAAGTAGCATAACAATCAGAATAATCAGCTGATAACTTATCATAATATCCTTCCGAAAAGCAAAGTCGTTTACTATAAAAGGTCATTTTAATTATTGTCAGGTAGCACAAAATGATATCGTATAACGTAACGTATTCTCCAAGTATTCAGACATCAAGTCCTGAGAAAGAGCTAATCTTTTTGTGTTCACGAGGTATGAATTGAGGCGAACTAAAAATGATACTTTTAGTTAACTCAGAAAAATCTAAGTTAATTAATTACCACATAAATTTACACAGAAAAACTTTTTCGGCTCATTGAGTGGGAATAGGGAAAAATAATAACAAAGTCACGACAGACAACATTAATTAAAATCTTTAAATTAATCTTTGTCCGACATTCTCGCAGTAAAACTCCGTCCAATTATTTAGTTTTCCTGTTTCCAGTAGTTGTTTGGTCAATCGTGTGACTGTGACAAATTAAATCACAACAGCATATGTACGCATCCATAGTACAATAACAACGTTGCATATTATTATATTCATTCCGCAGAAGTAATAAAACACATCCATTTATGATCAAAAAAAAAAAGAAATTTGAATTGTGTGTGATCATTGTGTTCTATAAAATTTCTTATTTCAGTCGTGTTATAGGTTTCCTTTCATTTATGATACATTATTGTATTGTCATTGTGGTTTACTTTATTTGTTGGATTTTTTTGCACTGCCATATTCACGGACGCAGCTGTGAGGCAATATATTACAGGCAGCTGACGTGTCTATTTTGCCTAAACACCAAATTAAAAACAATCGCATTGCATGTTTCGTTAAATTATCATTATGTGGAGTAATCCCACATTATCAGTCGATATTCTTCCCCATCCAAAAAATGGCCAAAAAGGGGAATTGTAGGCTTTTTCAATAGCTTTCATCGAGCGCCACTCGGATTGCGCCACTACCATTGATCATCGTAAATCTCCGAGAATGAGTATTCAAGTATTTACATGTGATACTTGAAACGACACGAATATAAATACATGTGTTGAGAAAAATAACTAAAATGGGCCTTATCGGAAGTTTACGGCGTTATGATGTAGATTATCTATTTTAAATCCCGTATTGGTTATTCATTTATTCATCATTTTCATTGGTATTGATTACCAAAATTAAATCCTCTATAAAAAGGTTTTACCGGTAAATAGATGAAATGACCGTGTTTATCGTTATCACAAACATTACTAACAACTCTTTTAGTGCTCTAAATTAATAATAAAACGTAATGAATACATCATCATTCCCAATCCCAATACACATATTTACAATTGCATTTATTACCCTTAACGGTCACCAGTATCAACCCCGTGCATAAAAATGGATATTTATGCAGCATAGGAGATCCCCATTAGATCACGTTACTGATTATGTACAGATACGTTTATATCTATTTGTGTGATACTGGGTGCAACGAACATCGTTACCTCTTCTAAACAACCTATTCTAAAATAACAAGAAATAAACAGTAATTAATCTGAATGAATGATGAATGGACCCAGCACCTAGCTTCCAAACCTTCTTTGGCCCTATATTTCATTCGTTCTTTCCTTCTTTGGCGTTCTTCGTTCATTCTTACTTTCTTTGATTCTTTATGCCCCCCTTTTAATGTATCTTCCCCCCCCCCCGTTTCAAAAGTTTCTATACTATTGATGAAAGTAGCCGATTATTGAATAAATGAATAGACAGTTGATTCGATAGTTTTTATGAAAATTTCCTTTTCATCGTTTCTAATTCAAATGGTCAAATTTACTTGTTATGAACTAGCGTTGTAAAAAAAAACTTAAATCTTAGCAAGTACATGTATTGCCCAAAATAATGCAAGTGATTGATGGATTGGGTATAATGGAATTTCCGATATTTCACCGAAATATGTTGAATGTGCAAAATCACACGCCCTTTTAAATTAGATGCTTGCCTATTCCCACAATCCACACATATATGCGATGCACCAAGACGAGACAAATCACGATAAAGTACTGTTGGCTAAAAAGTTTGCATTTTAAACTTTTTATTTGCATAATCAAAAAAAAAAAACACAAGATCATATTGCTAACTTGCATGTTACAGAGATGTTTTTTTAACTTCACACAATACACATGTTGCACAATACGTACGTGTATTATGAAACTTAATAATAATGCAATCCCCAGAAACAGGAAATTGTGAAATAAATTGAAATTGAAATCGAGAAAATTGATGTCACATTTTGACATTAGGCTTTTGTACCAAATATAGTCTTTTTTTTTAATAATCTATCGGGAGAATGCTAAAGCAGAATAACCATACGTTTGTGGTGTTTGTTGTTGTGCTTGTTGACCATCAGAGTATACAAAGACAAAATTATAAGGTCGTTGCTGCTCTTGATTGTCGACATTGACGTTGCGAGTTGATCCTGTATGATTATTGTGATGATGACTTATATTGCTAGTAAAATTATTATTGATATTATTTACAGAATTAAGTGTTAATAATTGATTCGCTCGCACCGGTGTTGGAATAACGAAGATGGGATGGGATGTAGAATTTAATGAAGGTTGAAGTGATGACGATGATTCATAGGTTGAAGAACTAGTTGAAGAATTTCCTGAAGTAGAATTCTCTAGTCTAGCTCGCTTGTATGCTGATTGACCATTGTTATTATTATTGTTATTATTATTATTATTGAATAAATGATTCTCATTCATATCTTCCTCTGTAGTGGCTGCAGATATTGACTCGGAACATGAACTATCCTCATTGTTATCATTATTACTAAATGCACCTTGCTGACGAAGAATCTGAAGTTCTCTACGCCTTGCAAGTTTAACAATAGCAACCGGAATCTGCCAATCTATAACACAGATATCTTTATTTGTATTTGTTGAAGTCATAGGTGATTCCAATTCGGAGATTTGCGTAGCGATCGGTTGATCAACACGAAAATTTGCATATGGAATTCCTGTGCGACTATTGAACGGTCCTAATCGAGAACAAACAGCCTTTACTCGATTCAGAGAATAATCTCGTGTCAACGATTTAAGAAATCGCGCTTTTGAAATATCCAGTGCCACCTTGTGTTTTATTAACTCTAATTTTGTTTCCTGATTCGTACCATTACCAGAATCGCATAAGATGTATGGTTTTGACGTAAGAAAATCGCAAACAAGTGACGCCACATATTCCGACGGCCAATTCTCCGTCAATCGACCAATCAAAATTCCGCGATCTTCGTGTCCCTTGTTTCCAGACCAGTCTTCACAAAGTGTCTTTAACAGTTTTCCGATATTCACAATACGCCAACTCTTGATAATATAACTGAACGCAGGTATTAATCGTTTGAACGAGTATTGATTTGCAATTCGTTTAAGTCGCGGCGCACTTGCCGGCAGATTTTCCTCATTACGAATCCACTCTTGAAAACGTGACCCATAGTTCGCATCCATTGTTTGCATGGTTAATTCTACATTCTCCCAGTTCGGATCGTATATTGTTCGACCAGGTGGTAGTGGTCGTTTTCTTCGTCCTTTTTCTCTCTCTTCGTTCTTCCGTTTTCTTGTGTTTTCTTCTTCTTGATGATATCGATTTTGGTGCTGCGGCTCATCGTTAATACTACTACTATTACTACTAATACTATCCAACGGTAACTCTGAAAAATTTTGATGATGTGTTGAAGTATGTAACATTTTTTTTTGTATTCGAGAGAATTACTATTCCCTTATTTGCTTTTGAGGTTGATATTTCTAGAGTAGAACTCTTAAAGAGACGTGGTTTCAAAGGAAAATAAAAATAAAACACAAAAATGTAATGTGGGAAGAAAGGGGCTGTATTTATAGAATGTCACTGTGCCCAGACAAAACCAAATAGTAATTATTATTATGATAATAATAATAAGAATAAATAATCACTATTAACTATTATATAGTGTGACTAATATTAAAACAGAATAACAGAATAAAGTGCGGCATGATCTTTTTTTATATTATTGAAATCAGGTTTTTTACATGTATATATTAAACTCGACTTACATCAGCAGCAGTATATAAATTTTTCACTTGATGCGCCTGTACTGTTTTTGTGTGATGAATAATGTATGTATGTATGTACTTTATTGATTCATGTATTGATGTATTTGTTTTATTATTATTTATTTTATTTGTCTCTTTAATTAAGTGTGATAAACCGAAGTCGTGTTATATAAATTAAGCGAGTTTTGTGTTAATAATCATGCTTAATGGGGTAAAAAGCCACATAACGGCGGGCTTTATAATTATCATTATATGATATTATGATGATATCAGTTACAGCGTTAGTATTACTGTTAGCCGATTTTTTAACAGAACAAGGTTTCCACTGCGTATTACATCTAGTTTGATGTCGTGTGTGTCTTGTCTATCTTTTAATAGCATTATTTGGTTGCATGAGAGTAATTTTGCACAAAATTTTTTGTGTTTGAAACCAAAATATGTGGGTTGTTTACATGTCTTTCTTTATGGGTTTATCTGTCGGGAAATTTTCGGCTCGGATATGGGTTACAAATTACGCGTCACCGACTCGAATATAAAGCATTCACATGATTACCTTCGCAGTATTAGAATCTTACGTAATTTGCGTAATGCATTTGCATAATATCTTGTACTCTACAGATTGTATATAAATATTCGTTGTTTCCCGAGAATTACACTACAACAATAATTTCGTAAAACTTTATGCTAACGCTATTATTATTCTAGCCCATGCATTGCGCGTTTTAAATATTCATCAGGTCATATTTTCATCAGATCATTCGTATTTTAGCATCAATCAGATCATCCGCAGTCACATTTTAAAAATATTTAAGAAATCCGCATAAACAATTACAAACCACAAAACAACAATAGCAACGCATCAGGCAATAACGACATCTGATAAAATGGAACGACGTATGTATTTTATGCGTTGGTCGGAACATTCTCTATCATGCAATTTGATCATACCAGAAATTCCCGATCACACGCAGAATTATTTATTCTAATAAAATGGCTTTTCTTTGTTATTCAGTCACATTTCAAGTTAGCTTCAAAGGCAAAATGCACAGCATTGAACAATGGGCTGCGGATTCTTCAATCCGGGAGTTAAAGGAGCATATGGAGGTGGTGACTGGCGTACCAGTTGACTTGCAGAAATTGATATATCATGGTTTCTATTTTTATTTATCCATTATGTCGATTTATTTATTTATGCACACGTTGTTTTTGAGATCATTAATGATTATTATCTTAAAATCAAGGCATCTTAAAAGATGATACGACGTTACGTAATAGCAATATAAAATCGGGAGTAAAAATCACAATGATTGGTAGTTTACCGTCAGAAGTCCAAACAATTAGAGATGCTGATGCCAAAATATCACATCAACCATTTAATCGGCAGAAATCGAAATACGCAATTAATGTATCCTTTCTCTTTTTCAATACCGGTTTTTTATTGGTGAATCATTCCACTTATCCTCGTTCTATTTTGATTTACAGCCTTACAAGGATGTCAAATCATCATCACCAATCCAAACCCAATACAAATTCCACCAAATACAAGTACTCGAAGACTTCCCTTCTCCCGAAAAAGCACGAGAACTACTAGAACGACTTTCCGAAGACCGCGGAATCCGCGGAATAATGGAAAAACATAAATTCAGCGTTGGCATTCTGGCAGAGTTATCACCAACCAGAAAAGAGATTTTAGGGTACAATGAGAACAAGGGGCAGGCAATTACACTTCGACTACGAACTGATGATTTAGAAGGATTTCGAGATTATCAAACAATACGACGCGTGCTGTTGCATGAATTGGCACATTGCGTGTGGACCGAACATGACGATAATTTTCATCGGTTGAATCGGCAGTTGAATAAGGAAGTTGGTTTGTGATTTTTTATTTCGTTTACTGAGATTAGCTTAAGGAAGAGGTAATAGGAGTAAATTGACAAAATTTTCATATTTTACATCAAAGTTGAATTGGATTGGACAAAATCAACTGGCCGTCAAATAAGTCATCACGAATACTATCATCCGCCACATGAGGAAGACAATATAGATGCTGCTGGATACGTAGGAGGCACATTTCGACTTGGTGGCGATACTGAACGCACAAAAAAATTGTCTAGACGTGAGATCTTGGCAGAGGCTGCTACGTTACGATTAACTAAAGAAGAGAAGGAGTTGGATAAGGGGTGTGGTTTGGACAAGTAAATCGAAGATTGGTGAATACCTGAATCCTGAAAGACAGTTATACTTTTTTATCATGCTTTGATACTTCGTATATTAGATACCTATATTTAAGCAAATATCTGCAGAGTCTGTCGGTTGAAGACACCATGATAGTAATTCTGACCAAATTGACAAAGGGAATCAAATTACGCACGTAATAATATCGAAATTGAAAGTTATAGAACATGAAATCATAAAGCTCAGGTTCTGCCATATCAATTATTTTTTTTCGGTCAACATATAAAGTTTCAGAAAGTTTTTTTTTCATCAGTGTTTTCATATTTTCCTTTTACAAAAGCTATTATAATCGGATTACTTACAAAAGATGAATTGTAGAAACAAAGAGTAAAAAAATATGTAATGATGAGAAATATTTCAATGCAAACTTCAATCAATTATCTCATTACAAAAATACATATCGATACGATGCTTTTAAATCAATAATCCCATTTATTTAAATCGAAGGTTTAATATTTGTGACCCTTTAAATTGAAAAAATCTCACGATTTACTCTTATGCGTCGTCGTGTGTTTTTATCTTACATTCTTGTAAGTATATTACTTTTGAGCGTTCGCTTTTTATCCTTTATCTTTGATGAACATGATCGTTTGATTTCCAAGATGATAATTAAACTTTATTCACACGCTGACGAATAACCTTGAAAGAAACAACTCTTTTTTTTATGACACTTTAATTAAAGTTTTGTTTTTTTTGGTAAAGTAACTATCACTTATATTCTTGTGTAAGATGCATCTTTTCCTCTGACCGGTAAACTATGTGTGTTAATTGAAGTCATACATTGTACAATTTGCTTAAAGAAAGGCTTTGTTTTTTCTAAAAATTTCATTTCTAGTTTAATGGAACGAAATTGAGCTATTATTGGTCTTCCGCAATATAAATGCCAAAGAAACGTGCGTCAAGTTCCAAAAATCACGTAAGTCTCTCTTTCATCAATATACAAATGGATAAGATGATGCAAAAAATGTCTGGAACTCTAAATATTAAAATCATGTAGACGTTAAAACATTTCAACTGAATCAGATCCATTTTATGCTATGCATCTTTGCCGCTTGCGAACAAGCATTTTGTTAATGTTGCTGCATTTTAATAGATAACGATACAAAAATATGAAAATTCGAGGACAAATTCCATTAACTGCGCACGTATAATGCTATCATAACGGAAAATACTAACAGAAACGGCGTGACGCATGTGGGCGATAGTTAAGTAAGCTAGTATATTTTAGAAAAGACACGCGATAACCACTATTTCTAGATTAGGTTACGAAGTAAAAATATACGATGGCTGAGTCCAAGTTATGTTTTTATATTTTAAAAAGATAACGACTTAGTAATAAATAGCATCTCACTGTGAAAATTACAATGATGAAACAAAAGTTGCATATGCAAGCATGAGACTTCACGTTATAATCATCATTATTAGTTTCGGGTTTAATGTTTTTGCCTTGATTTGGACTAATCTAGATAGGCACAATGACGGTAAATGAATTATTGCAGATGGAGTATTTTTATCTACAGAGGTAATATGAATTATTGTAACGTTCGTGTCTTAATATCTGATTCCAACTAAAATTATATTCTCTACTACAAGAAAAAAATTTCACAACTCTTAATCGTTCGTTCGTTCATTGCTTCGATAAACAAAAGGTATTTATCATTTTCCGCGGTACGTTTTTTAAAAATGAATACAAGATATAAAGATGGATTCTTTCCAATTACTGATTTGCATCTATTCGTGTTTTTATTTCGATGGGGACTTTTTTATACTAATTTATTTGAGCAGATTTATACAGAATTCAAAAAGTAATTAATTCGGAATGAAAAACCAGACAACTTCATCATTAAAAAAAAACGCGTACATTGTCGATTTTAAGGCGAAGAATTTTTTCCTTCTTCCTACATACATATTAACTTATTGATTAATTTCTTTCCAACCAAAAAATCACAAGGAAATTACTTTCATGCTATGATTAAATAGCTTATTTGTTTCCCAGTCCGGTGTATGCATTTTAATCATACTTTGAGCCTCTAATAAATAAATTTATTTTCAATCTACAAATTAGATTATTATTATGAATCCGAATACTATTGGTGGGCATCAGTAAAACCAAGCAAGTCTCTATTGATAAACCAACCAGATATTCTTTATGTTTTACGAAAGCCAAGGAAGAACGCGAACTCGAAGGCTTTCTTCCAAATCACTCTGAACATCATCTTAGGTGTGTTTTGGGTCAGCATTGTCATACAGGTGATCGTTAAAATCCAGATTTTCGGTAAACAAATGTTCCCTTAACCCTGATTGTTGTCCAAACATAGACTTGAATGGGTGCTTCACCATAGGAGCGACGGGTTTTGTATCATGAGACCATGCGAGAAGGTATTACAAACATCTGTAACGTTGTTTCGTCAGAAAAACAACTTTTTCCAGTTTTATCGGGCATTATCATGTGCCCAAGACATGCGACGGTCTTTTGCCTGTTGGGTTAAAAGGGGGAAAAACTGAAACGAATTATAAAACTGACATATCGTTCATAGAGCATAAAGGATTCCCCAAACGTTGGGGAATCTTCCTTTACATTGCGAACGTTTTGTTGCCAGAGGAACTTAACGGCGGCATTTCGTTGCGTTTCGAGGGAATTGATGTCTGTCTTTGGATCTTGTTTTCAAATACCGATTTGGTAATACAAATGATGATCCAAAGCGGGGAAGAGGAGACGCTACGACAAAACTCGCTTCCAAAGTATATCGTTCGTTGATGGATGGGATCCAACAATGACGGTGCTCCGTTCATTCAGAATTGTTACAACGAGTCGACCATAGTTGCGCTAAGACACCTGGACCCTTTTTATAAAATCATAGTAATTTTTTTTTGATGAATATGTTCGAGTTGTCAACGAAAATAGTAATGAGTCCAATATTTTTTTCAATGGGTGTATGAGGAAGTGCATGCTCTTCACCTTTGAACATTTTTACGAACCTAACGATTCTCATCACTAATTCTCCTGGTAGTCCATATTGCACAAGCCTTCGCTAAATTCAAATCGCTACCGTCAAATCTCATTGTTGCAGAAAGAAGATGAGACTCCGTATTCCAGCTATCGAAATTCTTAACTTACATAGCACCACCCGCAAAAAATGGTAGCCGGATAAATTTTCTGGGAAACTCTTGAATTATATCGGACCACTCGCTCATGCGCGTTGTTTCGAATCACAGCCCGCATTATGCTTAATTCAGGCCGAAATTTGAAATTACAGCCCTGCGAGTGCATTCGTTTTTCGGATAGATCAAAAATTTACACAAACTCATGGTCAATGACCTATTCCGGTTCGTTTGTGTTTAAAACCGAACTTGTGAGCTTTTAATCATATGAAAATAATTAGCCAATCAATACATGATATGATGGGAACCGTCCATTAGCTCGACATTCAAAAATCTGACACATTCTAGCTAATTTTACCAACTCTGAAAAGAGTTAGAAAATCTTTGACAATTATCTGAATAGCTCTTGCCAAATTTTTGATCTTATCAAATCTTTTTCCTTTTAATTCTTTTTTTATTCAAGAAAATAAGAAAAAACCACAAAGCGATACAAGATATGAAAACCGCCACTAATTTTACATACAATCTTGTCTTCCGCCCTAATCTTAAAATCAATCGGGATTGTGAACTGTCGGGATGTTGGATTGTCGGGATTTTGAATGTCGAGCTATTGGATGTCGAGATTTTGGGAACCGTATATGATATAGTAATTTATAATACATATATAAATTCTAATAATTTTAGTTAAATACATAATAAAACCTGATTATTACATTATTTTTATCGATTTTAATTAGATTGAAATCTAGTATTTCAAATATTTTTATCTAAATTAAAATATTTGAAACAATCAGTAAAAACCAAACAATAAAAACAAATATATTAACTATTTTTCAATTATGATAATAAAATTGTTAATAAATCTTTATATTTATTAAATAATATTTTAGATATTTATAATAATAATAATAATAATATCTTTTACATGTTTTTATTTATTAAAAATATCTAGTTTTTCAAATAATTTTTTTAGAATTTTTAAAAAAAATAATTATTCAAAAAGATTTTAATCTCAAATTATCAAACAAAATTTAATAAAGCTTGAAGTATTCTTTGAGTAAATATAACTTAATTTGTTTTTAAACTTTATTATATTCAATAAAATTACTATATATATATATATCTACTAATAACTAATAATTTTTCATATTATATTTTAAGTTTAAAATTTATAATAATTATAATCAAATTATTCTATAGTTATTACAGTATGTAACAAAAAAAACCAGATATTTTAATTTTCTCTATAAATATTTATTTAAATAACATGAAAATTTAACTATATATACTTGAG